AATAGGTCCTGAAGGGAGTGGGGCTCATGGGGGATAGGCACCTGGACAAACCTTAAGGAAGCTGCGGGAGCCTTAGGGAGAAGTGGGGGGGTAGGGAATCTTGGGTTGCGTACCCCTTCGAACCCCCTCCCCGAATTAAGGACCCTGTACATTTAGGATCCTTGGCCGCCCTACCTACCCAAGGCCCATACTTCAGAACCTGTTAAAGAAGGTACGGGACCACAGTGAGACCCCAAACCCCGAACCCTCTTAAGGGACCATGCAACCTTTGACCAATGCCAATGCTGGGGCCTTCAGGGCCTTCAGGGCCTCGGGGGCTAGAGGGGCACAATCTAGGCCCTCCTGTCGTACAGAAGCCTAAGCCCACTTAAGGATGTAGGGTACGGTTTAGGGTTTAGGGTTCTGTCTACCAGAGCGGCCATGTCCTGCACCTGCTCGAATCGCCCCATTGGTGCTTTCGGACAAGGACGGGTCGGCTTGGGCGGAACCACCCTGGCCCGTTTAGGGTTTAGGGTTTAGGGTTTAGGGTTTAGGGTTTAGGGTTTAGGGTTTAGGGTTTAGGGTTTAGGGGTTCCACGGGTAATCCGCAAAGGGCCACACGGCCACGAGGCGATGCTTCTCTTGGAGATCGGCCTTGCGCCAGCGCTGGCGCTGCTTCACCGTGAGGCCTTCTTCGAATGCTTGCAGACGGGATGGAGGTTGGCGTCGCACTTGAACGAGTGGTAATAGGCAGCAAGGCTTGCCATTCCTGTATTGCGGCCAGGGGGCTTAGGGTCTAGGGTCTGAGGTGTCGGGTTTAGGACTCACAGGCAAGCGGCAAGTAAACCCTTGAACCCCTTGGCCCCCAACACCCCAGAGCCCACGAACCCCGGCAAACCCTAAACCCTATAAAGCCCGAAGCCCGAAACCGTTAGCAGTTTCGAGGAACAGCACAGCTGCAACGCAATTAAAACCCAGACCCCCTAAGCACCCTTCTTGAGATGCCCAGAATACCCTGATGCAGGTACCCTTTAGGGAAGGGGGGCGGGGGTGGAGCACCACCTTAGAAAACCTTGGGCCCTCAACCTTAAACCCTAAACCCTGAACCCTACACCCTAAACCCTAAATCCTGAACCCTAAATCCTAAACCCAAAGCACCCTAAACCACAAGTAAAGAAGCCGGAGCCTTGAACTGCTTGTCTTTACCTCGGACAAGAGACCATGGGGGGATGGTGGGGTTCAGTGGCCGGTTTAGGTTTAGGGTTTAGGGTTTGGGGTTTAGGGTTTAGGGTTTCGGGTTTAGGGTTTAGGGTTTAGGGTTTAGGGTTTGGGGTTCATGGTTGAGGGAATCTGGGAGCCCTAGTAACTTGGGAGAAGAAAACCGGGTTTTGGTTGTATGAAAGATGCTAAACCCCCCCACCAAAAGGCAGTCAGGGTAAGCCCTGTAGACCCTGAACCCCAGGAGCCTTAGAGCCGTAAAGCCCTAAAACTAAAACCCTAAAACCCGAAAAGCCTAAAACCAAAACTCTAAAACCCTAAGCCCTAGCCGTGAAAACCCTAAACCTCTAAACTCCTAAACCCTAAAACCCGAAAACCCTAAAACCCCAAAACCCCAAAACCCTAAACCCTAAAACCCCAAAACCCTAAAACCCAAAAACCCTGAAACCCGAAAACCCTGAAACCCTGAAACCCTACAGCCCTAAAACCCAAAACCCTAAACCCTGAACTCTAGCCCCTAAAACCTAAACCCTAAACCCTAAACCCTAAACCCTAAACCCTAAACCCTAGACCCTAGACCCTAAACCCTAAACCCTAGACCGAAACCCAAGTAGGGCCAGGACTTAGCTCCTCGTAGACCTTGCCGTTGAGCCCTGTTCCGGCTCCGGGAGCAACCACGGTGACCTGACTTGTTTCTGGCTTAGGGTTTAGGGTTTAGGGTTTAGGGCTTAGGGTTTAGGGTTTAGGGCTTAGGGCTTAGGGTTTAGGGTTTAGGGTTTAGGGTGGCTGCCCTCCTTCAAGCTGGCTTCAGCTCCTGTTTGGGTCCTGGTGCTACCCCCTACCCCCCCCCCGCCCAACGTTTCACAGACGCTCAAGCAAATCAACTTTTGGCATCCTTTGAGCTGACGAGCGCGTTTAAACCTTTCAACTATGCTCCAGCGGGGTCGGCGGCTTGAGCCGGAGGCTCTTAAATTTAGGGTTTAGGGTTTAGGGTTTTGGGTTTTGGGTGTTGGGCTAGGGTTTAGGGTTTAGGGTTTTGGGCTAGGGCTTAGGGTTTAGGGTTTATATGCGCCCGTAATCGACCCCCCCCCCCCCCCATGGTATCCCCCCCCCCCCACGGCATCCCCCCCCAAACCCTGCCTGTTCACCCTAAAAACACCACGGACCACGGGGGAGGACAGAGAAACCTCAGCCTAAACCCCACACCCTGAACCCTAAGCCCTAAAACCTAAACCCACCAATGAACGACAGGAACCCCTGAAGCGTAAACTCAGCACGAACGACAGGGGGGAGAGGGGAAACCGTAAACCTACCATTACCCCAAACCTTGAACCCTGATTAAACTCTAAACCCACAATGAACCAAAGGACCAGAGTGAAAATCCTGAACTCTACAGCCTAACCCTAAACCCCTAAACCGCAAACCCATGAACCACGGACCATGCACAGGGGTGGGGGCGGGAGGGGACCCCAAAACCCACCATGAACCACAGGGGGGGGGGGGGGGGGGGGGGGGGGGGGGGGGGGGGGGGGGGGGGGGGGGGGGGGGGGGGGGGGGGGGGGGGGGTGCGCCTATGCTGGCGCATATATAGGGTTTAGTTTAGGGGTTTCGGGTTTCGGGTCTTGTCAGCTTCGGGCCTGTAGGGCTTCGGGGGGAGGCGGGAGTTGAAAGGGCCGTCCCTAAACCGCACTGCAGAACCACCTAAACCCTAAGCTGCCCGTAATCTGTGCAGGGTATATAAGGGGTAGCCCTTTTTAACGCACCATACTAAGGGACCATGAAACTACCCTTAGACTGTACAGGTTTCCTAATTTAGGGGGCGTTAGGGGGGGGGGGGGGGTATATGACCCAAGGTTGCCTAATGCTCACTACTATTTGTACGGCTCCCTAAGCTTCCCTAAGGTTTCCTAGGTACCTACCCCCCATGAACCCCCTCCCTTCAGAACCCTATATGACTATAACCCCGAAATCCCTCCATCCTACAACCCCAATCCGTAAGGCCCCTAAACCCTAGCCCTAAACCCCAAACCCTAATCCCTAAACCCTCAACCCTAAACCCCAAAACCCTTTATGTGGCCCCCAGGCTCTGAAAGCCTCTGAGTCCAAAACGACCCCCAGAGGCAGCAAAGCATCCAACGCCCGTAACCTAAAACCAAGCCCTTACTTGTGAGAGGTTGGGGTTTGGGGTTTGGGGTTTGGGGTTTCGGGTTTAGGGTTTGGGGTTTAGGGTTTAGGGTTTAGGGTTTAGGGCTAGGGTTTAGGGTTTAGGGCTTGGAGCCCTAAGACTCTCCGGCTCCAACCAGGAGTCGCACATCCCGAGTCCTCAAGGCCATCCTGAAGTAAGCGCCCGGAAGTCCCATATGGGAACCTTTTCAACATAATCGACTGCCACCAAACCCTGAGTCTTAAACCCTCAACCCTTAAAACCTGAGCCCCAAATCCTGGATCCTCAATCCTGAACCCTAAACCCTAAATCCTAAACCCTAAACCCGAAATCCGAGAGCCTAAACCCCTGAACCCTAAAGCCTACACCCACAAAGCCGTACACATCGCCGCCAAGGGGGCGCGGAGCGCCAAGCGGAGCTTCGTGGAGCATCGCTCGGGGTTGATCATCTCATAGAGGCGCTGGCCTCTGGAGACCCTACCCTAAACCCTAAACCCTAAACCCTAAACCCTAAACCCTAAACCCTAAACCCTAAACCCTAAACCCTAAACCCTAAACCCGTAAAGCTTCCATGTACGGTTGCTGTCTAAGGGTTGGCCATACTTAAGCTCCGGAGTGCAGGTCAAGAACGGGCATTGGTGTCCCAAACTTGCTTACGTTATCCTAAACCCTAAACCCTAAACCCTAAACCCTAAACCCTAAACCCTAAAACCCTAAAACCCTAAAACCCTAAAACCCTAAAACCCTAAACCCTAAACCCTAAACCCTAAACCCTAAACCCTAAACCTCCAAAAAAAAACACGGGGACGCCTTGCGGAGAGCCGGGGGCCGGCTCCAAAGTCAGCTGCACCTTCACGGCGCCTCGAATCTACGCAGGTTTGGGTTTTAGGGTTTAGGGTTTAGGGTTTAGGGTTTAGGGTTTAGGGTTTAGGGTTTAGGGTTTAGGGTTTAGGGTTTGGGGTTTGGGGTTTAGGGTTTAGGGTTTAGGGTTTAGGGCTTCGGGTTAGGGATTAGGGTTTAGGGTTGACGGCGAAGAGGTTTAGGGTTGAGGGTCCAGGGCTTAGGGTCTTTCGGGGTTTAGGGTGTTTGGATGTATTGCGTGAGACTTAGGGTGAAAAGGGTTCTTGATGTTTAGGGTGTATAAGTGTTTTTTTGTGCTTTGGGTGTTTAGTGTTCAGAGTTTGAGGTTTATAGAGTTCAATTTAAAGAGGGTGCAGTGTTGGCTTTAGGGTTTGAGTGCTTTAGGGTTTTTGTTGTTGGGATTTATAGGGCTTTTAGGGCTTCAAGGGTTTTCAGGGTCTGAGGTTCAGGGTTTAGTTTGAGTTTCAGGGGGTTTACACGGTTTAGAGGGTTTTGGCTTTACAGGGTGTCGGGTTTATGGTGCAAGTTTTACGGTTTAGGGTTCTTCTTAAGGTGTGGGGATGAACCCTAAACCCTAAACCCTAAACCCTAAACCCTAAACCCTAAAATCTCCCGAATTAGGCCCTTCATCTACAGGTCCTTGTTTGGGGGCCTACCTTTCAGCTTGTGATAATGATCACCCATGCTCCACAAAAGAGCCGGTTCCTTGAGTCTGTCACTTCAAGCAACTGGGTTTAGGGTTTAGGGTTTAGGGTTTAGGGTTTAGGGGCTACGCATCATGCGCACAGCCAACTTGTGCCGCGAAAGCCAGGAGCTCGCCTCCTCATGCTGCTCCGGCGGGCAGTGCTGTCTGCACCAAGGGTCTGTGTGGCGCCTGATGCGCGAAACTGGTCCAGCACAAAGCGCAAGTCGGCAAGCTATGCGCCAGGTCGGACCGATGGGCATGCTTCGCGGCATACCTTTTGAGGTGGCAAGCGTCGTCGTGGATCATAGCGGACAGCTCGGGAATGCGGCTTTTTGCAGGTCTGCAACAAAGAAGTACCTCAAAGGCAAGGTTTCACTAGAAACCATGGTGCCTGCAAAACGGAACCCTCCATATCGCACCAGTAAGCAGTCTAGACCCTAAACTTTAAACTCTAGACCCTAAAGCCGCATAAACCCTAAACTGGAGGAATCCCTCGCCTCGGGTTTTTGAAACTTCTAGGGTTTGGGTCTCTAGATGTTTGCTAGAGGGATCTTCACTTCAGGGTTCAGGGCTTGGGGTTCTTCAAAGCTCTTCGGGTTCTGGAGGGCTTTTGCCTTCTAGCGCTTTTAGTTTTTAGGGCTCTTCACAGGGCTACTGCCTTCAAGCCGTTTAAGCGTCTTAGGGTTTAGGGTCTATAGGGTTTAGGCTCTTAAGTTGTTTTTTTAAGGGTTGCTGAAGGGTTTTTTGAGGGGTTTGTGGGGGAATCCCGCAGAGAGACGCTCCCCAAGAGGGCCCGCACCCAGAACCCCTGCAGAGAAGCCCCTGAGCTAAACCCTAAACCCTAAACCCTAAACCCTAAACCCTAAACCCTAAACCCTAAACCCTAAACCCCTAAACCCTAAACCCTAAACCCTAAACCCTAAACCCTAAACCCTAAACCCTAAACCCTAAACCCTAAACGCACCGTGCCTGCGGTGTAGGGAAGAAGGCTTAGGCAGGGCAGCTTGGGGTTTAGGGCTTGGAGTTTAGGGTTTCACCCTAACCCCTAACCCCTAACCCCTGAACCCTGAACCCTAAACCCTAAACCCTAAACCCTAAACCTTAAACCCTATAACCCTAAATCCTAAACTCCAGAAGCCCTACATGCCCAAGCTCAGACCCTCCCCGGTGGATTCTCCCTATCCATACCAACTCCCTCATAAGGCAGCCGACAGCTTCAATCATCCTGCATAGGCTTGAGGGTTTAGGCCCTAAACCCTAAACCCTGCTTGGAAGCCCAAAACTCTGAAACCTAAAACCTAAACCCTAAACTCTAAACCCTAAACCCTAAATCCTAAACCCGAAATCCTAAATCCTAAACCCTTCACTTCGTACACGCCCTGAGCCCTTCCAGCTCCACAGGGCCTTTGGGCATGTGATGACCGCTCAGCGTGACCGACTCCTTCAGCACCTCCTCAGAATGTAAGCGGGGCAACAAAGGGGCTTTTATAGGTGTAGGGTTCAGGGGTTAGGTTATAGGGTATAGGGTATAGGGTTTAGGGTTTAGGGTTTAGGCTTTAGGGTTTAGGGTTTAGGGTTTAGGGTTAGGGTTTAGGGTTTAGGGTTTAGGGTTTAGGGTTTAGGGTTTAGGGTTTAGGGTTTAGGGTTTAGGGTTTTGGGTTTAGGGTTTAGGGTTTAGGGTTTGGGTTTAGGGTTTGGGTTTATTTAGAGCTTAGAGGGATATCCCGCCCCTCCCACCCCAGACCCAGAACCCTAAATCCCCCAACCATAAGCTCTAACTTCCGAGACATTGGAAGCCAGAAAGGCTGCCTGCCAGTCGGGGAACTTCGCAAAAGTTAACTTCAAACCCCCTGCACGACGCAGTTTTCAGGGTCTAGGGTTTAGGACCCTAAACTCTAAACCCTAAACCCTCAACCCTAAAACTCCAAACCCCACACCCCAAACCCCAAACCCTAAACCCTAAACCCTAAGCCCTAAGCCCAAAAGCCCGACTTCCCGCCTCAACACTGCCATCCAGCCACTTCTCTCTGGAGCCGTTCCAGGCCTGGCTGAGCTGAGGAGACACCAAGCCCTAAACCCTAGCCCTAAACCCTAAACCCTAAACCCGAAACCCTAAACCCTATAACCCTATAACCCTAAACCCCTCCAGAGCTTACGGCTCTGGGCTTAGGGTAAACCACGGGTTGTTTGCAGGGTTGGTTTATGGGTTGAGGCTTTCGGTTTCTGACCCAAACCACCAACCCCGAGCCCCCCCGAACTGCAACCACAATCCCCCAAGCCGGAGATTCAAGCGCTAAACCCTAACCCCTAAACCCTAACCATAAACCCTGAACCCTAAACCCTACAGCCCCTGAGCGCTAAGCTTTCGAATCCACCGCACTGGGGTAGTTCTCTAAATTAGGGTCCGTTGCGGGTCCCTATATGGGGGTATACGAAAATAAGGGACCCCTATAGTATAAACCCCTTAAATAGAAGAACTCCTTTATAAAAAAGGACTCACAACAGGGGTCCCAACTTAGAGAACTACGAAGTGCCCCTAAACCTTAAACCCTGAACCCTGAACCCTAAACCCTAAAACATCCCTAAACCCTAAACCCTAAACCCTAAACCCTAAACCCTAAACCTTCGCGATGTCCTGGCCTGGATTTTGTCTCCAACTCGTGGCGCTCGGACAAGGCCGCCTCAGACTTCCCAAGCATCGCTTCAGGGTTTTGTGCTTAGGGTTGTAGGGCTATAGGGTTGTAGGGTTGTAGGGTTTAGGGTTTTAGGTTGCCGTATTCTCCCTGAACAACCCTGCCCTTAGGCCCTGAAGTACCATGAAGGGCCCTCTGAGCGCTGTTAAGGCTGATTGGGGGGGGTCTAACCCTAAACCCTAAACCCTAAACCCTAAACCCGAAACCCTAAACCCTGAAGCAGGCTCCGGGTTGGTACCTGGTGTCGGGGCTGCTTTACTCTTGCCACTTTAGGAAGAAAACAATTCTTCAGCCCTAAGCCCTAAGCCCTAAGCCCTAAACCCTAAACCCTAAACCCTAAGCCCTAAAACCCGAAGCCTTAAACCCTGCTTCATGCACGGATGCTTCAGGGTCCGAACCTTAACCCTCAACCCTCAACCCTCAACCCTGAACCGTGAACCCTCAAACCCTGGACCCGGTAACCCTGAAGCCGAAACCCCAAACCCTAAACCCCAGTCGCGCCTACGCCCCGAGCTTGTGCTGCCACACTGCGCTCCTGTGGCTCGGTCGTAAGAACTCGGGTCTTTTGGTCTTTTTTGAGAATTATCAAAGGGTTTAGGGTTTAGGGTTTAGGGTTTAGGGTTTAGGGTTTAGGGTTTAGGGTTTAGGGTTTAGGGTTTAGGGTTTAGGGTTTAGGGATTGGGACTCGGGTTAAGGGTTAAGTCCTAAAACCTGAAACCTAAACTGCTTACTGGAGGTTTGAATGGACCTGGGCCCTAAACCTCAGCCCCACCAAGTAAAGAACTCCCGGGCCCTGCCCCTGTACCCTTTCAGAAGCTGATCGATGTATTGCTCTGTTCTATCGTGTTGCTCTGGTATTTCATTGTCGCTTCCTCTGCCTCTGCCTCTGCCTTTGCCTCTGCCCCTGCCTTTGCCTCTCTCGCTCTTTCTCTGTATATGTGTGCAGCGTGTACTCATGCAAGCCCTATACACTATACACCCCTCCATTGTGTACAGGGAGGGAGGGAGCGGAAGAGAGAGAGAGAGAGAGAGAGACAGAGAGAAACAGAGAGAGGCAGAGAGAGGCAGAGAGAGAGAGAGAGAGACAGAGAGAGACGGACAGACAGTGGGAGAGAGAGAGAGAGAGACAGAGAGCGACGGAGAAAGAGAGAGAGAGAGAGAGAGACAGAGATTGCTGCTGCGAGATCCCACAGAGGCGACGTCTTCTTGGCTGGTGCTGCAGGGTATTTTGTACTGATGCCGTGGGTCGCGACAACAGCAAAAACACGGGTTCCTTGGGCTGGGAGCATGATTCAGAGAGCCGGCAACATGAAACTAAGCCCTAAACCCCACTAAACCCCACTAAATAAAACCCTAAACCCTAAAACCCTAAAACCCTAAACCCTAAACCCTAAACCCTAAACCCTAAACCCTCTACAACCTTGCCTCGGCACTGGCGTCGGCACGCTGCTGGCTGGGAACGCTCCAGGTCTCCGGGCATTTGGAGTTGCACAGGTTCATTATAGGGTTTAGGGTTTAGGGGTGTTAGGGACCCCACCCCAGCCACCGGCCCAAATGGAGGCTTAGGCTTAGGGCTTGGGCTGCTAGTTTTGTTTTGCCCCCCGCGAAATAGGGGTCTGCCGCGGTTTAAGGCCCCTTAGGATGGGTCACCCTCCTAGGTTCCTGAACTGGTACTCTGAACCCCCTGAACACTAAACCCAAACAGAATTCATGAAAGAAGAAACGACCAAACCCAGACTCATGCCTTGTGATGACACTGTACTTCACAATGCTTCTCAAGCAGACTTTGGCCAAAGCGCCGTTGCACGGACTGAAATCGACGACGGCGCTGATGGGTGCGCCAGAACCTCTCACCCTTGGATTCCCGAAAGAAAAGTGGCACATGGTCAGTCACCAACTTCGGCGAGGCGTAACTCTCAGCAAGGATCTTCGACTTCTCTGACGTTGCAATCCTGGACTGGCCCGTGGAGGCACACTCACCATGCTCAGGTCGCGAGTGAGGTTTGCAGAGCCGGTTTGGTGTTGTAGCAATTCCTGTTGTAGGACTGAGGGGTTGGAGATTTTGTTACAGGGCCAGGAATTTCCTAAACCCTAAACCCTAAACCCTAAACCCTGAACCCTGAACCCTGAACCCTGAACCCTGAACCCTGAACCCTGAACCCTAAACCCTGAACCCTATCTGAGACCTAGGACGTACGCCATGAACCCTAAACCCAAACAGCGAGGCACAGCCGACCTTGATCTCCCACCCCCCGTAACCTGTGAAGCTCTCAGCCACCATCAGAAGCCTGCGGTTTTAGTGTTTCCTAAACCCTAAACCCTAAACCCAAAACCCAAAACCCAAAACCCTAAACCCTAACCCCTGAACCCTGAACCCTAGCCCTAAACCCTAAACCCTAAACCCTGAACCCTGAACCCATTAGGGTTGAGGGGTTTGAGTCACCAAATGCCCTTGACAAGCAGGAAGCTGACCAAGCCACTCCGAAGCCGAGCCGAAAGTTTAGGGTTTATGGCAAAGGGGAATGATTCCATGCCTGTACTTTGTCTCCCTTCCGGACCAGTCGTACAGGGGCCCCTGCGTGATGCCGCGGCTTTTGCTTTGGTGTCTCTGGTTTTTTGGGTTTAGGGTCCAGGGTTCAGGATCTAGGGCTCAGGGGAAAAATCGAGGTTCAGCGAGACGCATCCTTGCACCCAATTCCTTGCTTTTTGGCGCCTAACGTTCTTATAATGCCACGCTGCCATACTAAG